CAGAGTGACCCACCAGGTCACAGCAGATCAGCAGAGCAGAATAAGGACTAAGATAGGAGTGGTTAAGTTGAACTGCAAAAACAAGAGGTTTACTAGTAGGGAAAAAGAGGACAGGAAGCTAGCTGTTTTAGCAGCAACTGAACTTTCAAAATAAGAGGAAGGGTAATATTAATTATTCTTTTCAGACCCAATCACATCAGTCAGTCTGAAATATTTTAGTTCTGGAATATGGGATCATCTAAAAGAAGTACAGGCATGGATTAAAAACACTTGACCCGAGGGCTGAACAAACCCTGGTATGTGCCATGGGTGAGATTATGTTTCTAATCCGGTTCATTCATGGCTTCAGTGCAGAGCTACTGCTCATTCATTGCATAATGCCTCAAAGCTGACAGCTTAGATTCTTCTAGTACTGACATGAATCAGACATGTAAGACTGATTTATGGGGTGCCATTTAAAAAGTTTGTTCCTGTAATGCTTTAAAAAGAAATATCATTTAGCCATCCATTAGTAGGAGTCTTTTCAACCAAGAAAGCAACTCAAAATCTATCTATCTATCTATCTATCTATCCACACACACACGCTTTTGTAATTTATCATTTATTAAAATTATAAATATATATTTTAACTCAAAAGTAGTTTTTAAATTTAATGTTGTTGAAACAACAAAGTAATAAAAAAAATAAACCTATCTGATCGAGAAATCACTCATCTTTGGAAAAGAGAGTTTATTACAGACAAATGGCTCTTTCCAAAATAAAAGCTATACTATACGCTTCTTCTGGGGTATACTCTCAGCAGCATATTAAACATATCAGGTCCCCATAAGGAGAATCATGTGCTAACAGCTGTCTAAATGACTCAGGTAAAGTTTGTAACATGCGTGCTTGTTGTTTTTGTCTGCCTCCACTTGTCTTTGCACTAGGATTAAGGCTGGGACAACGCTTACGTCGACGCAAAAAATACGTCGACGTAAAAAAATCTGCGTCGATGCGTCGTCACTTTCAAAAAAAGACATGGCGGCAGAGAGTAGCGGAATCATGAGTGAAGCAGTTGCAGTCAACTTAAATCACTCCACCCGAACATGCAGTTCTACAGTATGGGGATATTTTAACAGAAAAGGAAGTGATTCAGTCGTTTGC